ATTGAATCTGTTTTTAATTTTCTCAATAATAGGTTCAAAATTTAGCCGGCTTCTTTGATTCAAATCTTTACACACCATTATCCCAAGGTATGTGGTATTATCTCTTATTGGTATCCCACAAATTTCTTTAAATGCACAATCTTTAAGAGAGAATAAAGTAGATTTATTCTTATTCATCTTTAAACCAGAGATTCCAGAAAATGTTTCTATACATTTAATAACTTCATCTAATTGGTCACTGTTTTTGAGAAAAATTGTGCTATCATCAAGTTTAATCTCTTTTCCAAACACTGAAATTCCTTGAAAACTTGCTTTTATATATGAGCAGCCATGACCTGAGTAACCAATGTGAAGCGAAAAGGTGATATAGGGCATCCCTGTCTTATCCCACGGCCCATATCAAATCTCTGACCGGTACCGTGAGATAGCTGGACTGAACTATTCCAACCTTTATAAAGCGTACGGATTGCATTTTGAAAAAAATTACCAAAACCAAAAAAATCAATAACTTTAAACATAAATGAGTGTTCAACAGTATCAAACGCTTTATAGAAATCAATAAATAATATAAAAGAATCATCTGGGATAAGGTGTCTATAATCAATTAAATCTAAAATTAGTCTAATATTATTTCCAATGTAACGACCTTTCAAAAAACCGGACTGCTCTTCATCAATTATTGTATTAAGATGTTTCTTAAGTCTTTTTTGCAAAAATTAAAGAAAAAATTGTAGTATCATTATTTAATAAACTAATTGGTCTCCAATTTTCTAAAACTAATCTATCTTTATTGGGCTTGGGTATAAGTGTAATTACCCCTTGTTTTAGTGATGCGGGCATTTCTCCCAAATCAAGCGCTTCTTTAAAGACTGCAAGTAAAAAGGGTGCAAGGTCATTACAAAAATGTTTATAAAACTCCCCTGTCAAGCCATCATTCCCAGGAGATTTAATTTCTTTAAGACTATTTATACAATTTATAATTTCCTCTATGTTCAATTCTTTATCGCATGAATTCTTATAGTCTGACGTAATCTTATTAATACTGGTTGATAAATTACTGAGAAAACAATCTGCCTCATTTAGCTGACTACTTGGACTATACAATTTACTGTAAAATTGACTAACAAAACAAGAAATATCTTTGGGATTTTCATTAGTATGTCCATTTATTATTAATTTATTTACAGAAGTGATTTCTCTATTCCTTTTTTCTAAACCAAAAAAATATTTAGTATTTTTTTCTCCTGCTTCCATCCATTTTTGTCTAGACCGAACAAAAGCACCCCTAGCTTTTTCTTCATAAATGTTATCCAGCTCATTCTGCAATGTAGCAAGCTTTAATATTTCAGTGCTTGACATATTTGTTATTTTTACAAGTGAGGGAAATTATTTCATTAATTATTTTGTTTTCATTTTCTTTTTTTTTAACAGATTTTCCATACATAATTGTGAACTTCCTTATTTCAAATTTTAGTAATAATTTCCCATAAATTTGAGTCAAAGAAGCTTGTTGCCAATATTTAATAATTAAATTCTTAATTTGGTCGCAAAAATCTTTATGTTTCAATAGACTATTATTTAGCTTCCAATATCCTCGTTTAATTTCACTTGATTGAGAGATTACCACATTCATTTTAATGGATATGCCTTTGTGATCTGTTAAAACTGATGGTTCAATAGTAACAAATTCAACTCTCTCTTTTATGTGTTCTGGAATGAGCCAAAAATCAATCCGCGATTGCTGAGATCTGTCCCTATTACTCCACATATATACAAGTGATTGTGGATTTGTATACCTCCAAATATCGATTATGTTCAATTGAAACATACATTGCTTAATTCATTTGCCATATTATTAATTCTAGGTGGCAATCGATCAAACACCGTATTAAAGTCACCACCCCAAATGACTTCAGCTGAAGGGAATTTTGAATGTAAATTATTAATATAGCCTTCGATATCTTGAAATATTAACTCATTTGTTTTTTTATTATTGGTATTATTATTTTAGCTTGGTTTATATCAATAAGTAAAGCAATCCAATGACCTTGATTATCTGTTTTGTGACTTATAACCTTCCCTGAAAACCTATCCTTTAAAATAGCGACACCTGCTGTCCTATTTGAAGTACCAAAAGAAAACCAAATGTCACAACCCCACTGATTCTTCCAAAAAAGTGCATCATCTTGGCAGGCATGCGTTTCTTGAATAAAACAAAAATCTGCTTCTTTACCTTTACAAAACAAAAATAGAGCTTTCCTTTTCAGCATGTCACGTAATCCCCTTAGCATTAAGGGAAAATATTGTTACTGACATAAACTCAAACAAGACCAGAAAAAAACCCTAATAGAACAATGAGGTGAACAATGAGCAAATTAAGGTTGAAACTTGAAAGTGTTGAGAGTGTATAAAGGGTAAACCGTCACATTTCAGTATCATTCTTGAGATCCTTTTAGATTAAATTTGAGTAACATAAAAGGAATAACAGTCTCCTGTTGTTTCACATTACGAATGAATATAAGCATTAATAAAAAATAAAAACCTTATATAATTCGTCCAAGTTTTAAAGAATAACCTAAAGCAAACAGTTACTTCTCGTTTCATAGTAATTTAAGGAATCAGAACCCATAATAAGGGTGCAGTGGTTTAGCCTACATTTTAATTTCTTTATAGTCAACAATTGCCTTGATTCCCACAAAGAAGGCCCCTTTGCCCTCTTTCCGTGTTTTGTCGATCGAAGGCCAAAGGAGATTCCGCGTAGCCCTGTCTTTGATCGTGAGGTCCTCTTTGAAGTACATCTTGTTCTTCTTAAGAAAGTCATTTCCCTGTGAGGTCCCTCGCTGTTCTGGAAGTGAGTCTTATAATCACCGGCCTTGGTCTCTTATCCTTTCCGCCATCTGAAATGGGTCTTCCAACTCGGTGAGCAATGTCCACATTGTTTGCAACGAAGTTAGTATCTTCTTCGACAACCACCGCTCTGCAGATATCCATTACCCGAGCCTTGACATTATCCTCTGCACGTTCGGTCAGCCCCTCCAGGACAGTACCGATCCTGATCATTTATTCTCTCCTCCATTTCAGAGATGCGCTTCAGATTCTCCTCGTTTTTGTTTTTCAACTCTTCATTCTCCTTCCGAATGTCAAAAATTTCAGAGTGCACCACTTCTAACGCTTCTTTCAACAGATTGATGCTGGTCGAATTTTCTTTTACCATGTTTTTTATTTCCTCGGATGACTGTCTAATTATTTGAATGATGCTTTGCTGTGCCTGACCTAGCGTTAGTTCATCCATTACATCACCTTTTGCTTGCTTTTTGACGGAGGTGCTTTGGATGGTGTATTTGGAGTCGAATCACATTCATCTCCCTTTTTCTGTTGACAAGCGTAGGAGTGAGTTTCGCTGATAAGTCTTTGAAGTTCAGTATCCATCACTTCAGGGGCTGACACGTTCATGATAACTTCTAGACTCTCTATCGAATAAAAAAACTTGTAACTAGTATTAATTAACTCTAACTTATTAATAAGAATCTCAATAACACTCATTAAAGTGTGATTTGTTTCTCACATCAACATTTGTAAAATATACCCTATTTTGTTGTAAGCGCTAGAACACGTGCGTCTAGTCAAGCCGCCATCTTGGCCCCCCAACTCTCGAGTTTCAGACTTGTATTCTTTCTTGAATACGAGTATGACGAAGTCAGGCTAGGTTCATGCACATGTTTCTGAGGAATAGCATTAGCATTAGCACGTGTTGTGTTTCGTTCTGGATCTACTGATCGCAGGCCTCATTAATCTCAAATAACACACCTCAGGTTTATTTTTGACAAAAAATAAGGGGTAATTTTGACAAAATTGAATTAAATTTTTAAATAGTCTCTTTGAATTAAATTTTTAAATAGTCTCTTTAATTTATCACATTATAGTGCTTTAATGTTTAACCAGGAAGTTTTGAAATGCTTTTATTTTGTACAAAAGTTTAAAAAGGCTCATAACAGCGGATCCATGTAACCTATAGCTGTAATATTCAGCTGTTATCATCAGGTCAGTGTCTGCAGGGTTAGCAATGAACCGCCGGCTAAAGACAAAACTGAAGTCATTGCGTTTGGAAACAAAGACGAACTTCTCAAGGTCAACACATACCTTCAGTCTAGAGTCAAACAAATAAAAATCAAGTCAGGAATCTTTCAGTTTCAGTAGTCATGTCAAAGCAATAACTAAATCAGCATACTATCATCTGAGAAATATTGCAAGAATTAGATGCTTTGTTTCCAGTCAAGACTTGTGCATGCTTTCATCACCAGCAGGGTGGATTACTGTAATGGCCTCCTCACTGGCCTTCCCAAACACACCATCAGACAGTGTCAGCTCATACAGAACCAGAACACATGAACACATCACACCAGTCCTCGGGTCTATACACTGCCTACCAGATACATTAAGGTTGATGAAGTATTGTTACTGGTATATAAATCATTTAAGTTAATGGGTTAGGACCTCAATATATTGCAGATATGCTCACTGAATATAAACCCAACAGATCACTTAGATCATTAGATCACATCAGCTAGAAATACCAAGAGTTAGCTTTAAGCATGGCGAGTCTGCAATAACGAAGGGTTTTTTAAATGTTTTTTTTTTTTTGTACGGTATTGATCTGTCCACCTAAAACACATTTTTGGTAAAAAGGAAAATTATATTAAAAAAAGAGGAATGGATGAGATGCTGGATATGACATTTTGTTTGAATAAACATATGAAACCCAAATGTTACAATATACTAAATTAATTTTTATATATATATATATATATAACTGTGGGTGGGTATGGTATAACTTGGTTTAAATCTACAACTACTTTACATAATTAAATACAACTAATCAATCATTAATCTAGAACCTTCTTAAACCAGTTCTGTTTTTTGTTAAATAACAGGTCATTTTGGATGGGTGCTAAAAAATAAATAATCATAAGATGGTTTCATATAAACAAAGTTACACGCTTTTGAACATTTAATTTACGTTTAGAAGATGAGATTTCAAATAGATCTACAGCATCATCAGCTCTTTACAGGAGAGTGTGTGTGGCTCTTAAAAGAGCCTTTGTGTGTGTGAGCGGCTGCGGCTCTACTTGGAGCTGGTGTACTTGGTGACGGCCTTGGTGCCCTCAGACACGGCGTGTTTGGCCAGCTCTCCGGGCAGCAGCAGACGCACGGCGGTCTGGATCTCTCTCGACGTGATGGTGGAGCGCTTGTTGTAGTGAGCGAGACGAGACGCCTCACCGGCGATGCGCTCGAAGATGTCGTTGACGAAAGAGTTCATGATGCCCATCGCCTTGGAGGAGATGCCGGTGTCAGGGTGAACCTGCTTCAGCACTTTATAGACGTAGATGGCGTAGCTCTCCTTCCTGGACTTTCTGCGCTTCTTGCCGCCCTTCGCGGCGCTCTTGGTGACGGCCTTCTTGGAGCCTTTCTTAGGCGCAGACTTGGCTGGTTCAGGCATGATGAAGTGATCTCAGAGCTGACGAGTGAGTGTGTGAACACAGGAGCGATTGTGAGGGTTTTATTCACTGCGCTATGCTAATTTAGAGGAAGCACTGGGTTCTTCTGATGGCCCGTTTTCGTTGGCCGAACCCGTAAATTCATTGGACAGCTCAAATCATCGTGAGCGGAACAGAGGCCAATCACAGGCGGTTAAATTCTATCCCCGCCCACCGCCCGATGTTTGAACCAGAGCCAGTAATGTTTTTCAACGGCTCTGGTTTGAACGACTGTTTCTTTTGTTTCACTTCCGCTCTCTCTAAATAAGTCCGATCTTTCCTACTCTGTTTCGAGCAATTGATTGATTTTGTTAAAAAACAAATACTTCTTATTTCCTTTGTTATATGTCACTGCTCGAAAAAAGTTAATACATAGTGATAATTTGATAAATTTAGCTGTTCAAGACATATTCTGCACCATCATTTTATAAAAAACCCATAAACACATTTGAAGGAGTTTTGCATAAAAGTACATAAATCATTGCATAAAACCAATAATGGTCAGACTCCCTTTAAAAACAGATTTTCCTCAGAACTTCATAGTAGTGATGTTACGTATGACACTGAAGCTTCGATGCGCGTATCACATATGCGACACAGTTTCTAGTGAAGCCCCGTATCGTGGTGTGTTTTGGTTTTCCCAGAGTCACGTGATCGATGACAAACGAAGCCTCACTTTCTGTCCGATCACGTGCGAGTTTCGCTTTGGGTGTCAGAAGGCTCGAACTTTAACGAGTCAATGTTGCCTCAGTCTGGTTGATGGGTGTTTGAGGAGAGTGCTGTACTTTGAAAGTTAATAAATATAATTCATTAAATAACCAACATTTATTTTTCACTACTTAGTCTTCTTTTTTGTTTTGTCTTTTTGTTTTTGTAAAATCTTTGCACTTAAGCTTATATCTTTGCACTTAAGCTTATATTATATACACTTTAATGGGAAAATGAATTTATCAAATGAACAAATCAAACACAAACATGTAAGGTTTTTATTTGTAGACATAACATTGAAACTCTGTAGTGTGTTGTGGTTGCTTCATCTGCCAGAGCTTCTGGCTGCTTTATTTTAAATAAGCACCAGATGGCGCTGTTCTCGACACTCTCGAAGCTTTGAATCTTTTCCCGGAACAGTCAGGGGAAAGCCTCATTGCTTCATGAAGCTTCATTTCCCCATCCCTACTTCATAGATCCATTCATCAGATTAAACTACAGGGGCAGCAAATAAAGCCCATTTCAGTGGGGGGAAGCAACAAAACATACGTTGGTATGATTTCTAAACTTATTGTCATTTATTCAATCTGCAAATGAGAACAACTGCAGCTGAATTTGTATTTTTAAACTGTTCTTTTGAGAACGAAAATGAAATTTTTGAAGTATATTAACACATTAAACTGTAATTAAAAAGTCATTAAGAATATGTTCTTGACCTAGAATTTTTTTTTATCGGTATGATTGACATTAACTCTTTAATTGCGAGATTGTGTGGCTCTTAAAAGAGCCGTTGGGTCCGTCAGATTCTCCGGGTTTCAGGCGTTTATCCCCCGAAGCCGTACAAGGTGCGTCCCTGCCGCTTCAGCGCGTACACAACATCCATGGCGGTGACGGTCTTTCTCTTGGCGTGCTCGGTGTAGGTGACGGCATCGCGAATCACGTTCTCCAGAAAAACCTTCAACACACCGCGGGTCTCCTCGTAGATCAGCCCGGAGATGCGCTTGACACCGCCGCGACGAGCCAGACGCCGAATGGCGGGTTTGGTGATTCCCTGGATGTTATCGCGCAGAACTTTACGATGACGCTTCGCGCCTCCTTTTCCAAGCCCTTTCCCGCCTTTGCCTCTTCCAGACATGTTCACAAGATCGTTGATTAAGTCAGATAATGACGAAGAATGAAGGACGAGGCTGAAGGCAGACCTTTTACTTGTGCTTACAGGACCTGACAGAAACCAGCGAGGCGTCACATGCACGCGCCCCTCCCCCAAAATATAGAGCGCGAAACATTTAACCGCCACTCCTGGAGGAGCCATTCCCTTGTTTTAAATAAAATATTAATATATATATGTGTGTGTATATATATATATATATATATATATATTTATTCAGGTTAGTACTACTGAATATATATAAATATATATATTCAGTAGTACTGGTTAATAATGAATAGTGCTGTTCTACAAGCTCAACAAAGTAAACAAAGAGGGACACAAGTCATCAAATAAATCACAATATTGATAACAGTAAAATTGTGAATAGTGACAGCTGTGATATTATTCTATTTATGCCCCCCTGTGTATGTCCTATTCCGGTTCAAATTCACTCACATTTTAAAAAAAACGCTTATAAGCTTACATAATAAAAAACACAACACCCTTTTTCCCTTAATGAAAATAGGCACATTGGAACAATTTAGTTTTGTTACCACTGGCTGTCTAATCCAAAAGCCCTCAAAATAAAACAGAAGTGGCCAATTGTATGTATTAGGAAACAATAGCATATGCTTATTCTTTCCCTTAATAATTGCATAGACCAACTTTTACTGATGTCAGATTTCACACACTGCACAGGACCTTGTCTTTTATATATATATATATATATATATATATATATATATATATATAGCGTTAGTGGAAATTTTCGTTTATATTAAGTGATAATTATTGGCTGTTTGATCCAAATGCCATAAACTCTAACCTAATGAAACATAAATGGCTAATTGTATATTTTAGGAAAAAGTATGATAGTGTGTCAGCCCTTTCTAAATGCACGCCGCTAGCTTTTACAGTTATAAAATCACACATACTGCACGGAACATTGTTGCTTTATAACCAGCTTTAAAGTGGAAATCATCTCGTTTAAAGTAAGTGATGGTGGCTCTTAAAAGAGCCGTTGGGGTTTGATGCGCGTGCATAGCAGCGGGGGCGGATTTAAGCGCGCTCTCCACGGATGCGGCGCGCCAGCTGGATGTCCTTGGGCATGATGGTGACTCTCTTGGCGTGGATGGCGCACAGGTTGGTGTCCTCAAACAGACCCACCAGATAAGCCTCGCTGGCCTCCTGCAGGGCCATGACAGCGGAGCTCTGGAAGCGCAGGTCCGTCTTGAAGTCCTGGGCGATTTCTCTCACCAGCCGCTGGAAAGGCAGTTTGCGGATCAGCAGCTCGGTGGACTTCTGATAGCGGCGGATCTCCCGCAGAGCCACGGTCCCGGGCCGGTACCGATGGGGCTTCTTGACGCCGCCGGTGGCGGGCGCGCTCTTCCGGGCTGCTTTAGTCGCGAGCTGCTTCCTCGGGGCTTTGCCACCGGTGGATTTACGAGCGGTCTGCTTGGTTCTTGCCATCGCTGCAGTTTCTGCTGTATTTCTTCTGCTTGTGCTAGAAATGCTGTTTCTGTTACACACCTCCTGGTTTTATAGCATTGGACCGCCACGAGCTCAAGCGTCACGAAGATGTAGAGGCTTGTGATTGGCTAGTGTGTCACGTGTGTTAATGACTGCTGGCCAATGACTGCACGTTCCCTCTTTTCAAACAAGTGGAGTGTTTCCCGCTCAAGACGCTTTGTTCTGTTTATTACTTTGCTCAACCCTAAACTATAAAGGTTTTATTCTCAAATCTCACATTTCTGCATTTATTTGTTCTGAAATACTCGCCTTAATTCCCAGTAGTTGTGCAGATCTCGGATCAGAACAAAATCATATTAATGTGTCTATATAAAAGCACTGCAGCCAGAAATTAAGGCATACTTGTTAGGGTTAGACCATCCGGATAGTAACTAAAGAGCAAAAAGGACCCACAGTAACATTAATTAGTTTCTGTTACACTAGAAATAATGCTATACTTAGCATGTCAATTGCCACATGGCAGCAATAATTTTTAAGAATTAATGAGTAAAATTTAAATTAAAAAAGTTTTATTTTTCTGTAAATAATGATTACACATTTTCTATAGCAACTAAAAAAGGTGTAAACTGCAGTTGATGAGGGCAAGGATGAGGAGTCACACTGACGAGGAAGAGAAGGATAGGGTGACAGTGAAGATGATGAAGATTAGAACACTGACGTCTATGGTTGTTGCCCGAGAGCAACATTTGGATATGAAACGTTACTTTTTATTGTGTTTCACATTAAAAAAACTGAATAAATGTGTTTAAGCATTCAGTTAAATATACTTTGAGTGAAAACATCAACTATTTTTAAATTATCCATTTTAGTACTGTTACAACAAACTAAAATGAAAATGTTTAGATTGATTTCATTTTAGGGTCCAATTGCATGCAGTATTTTTTTTTTTTGATCATTTTGTGTAACTTATAAGATTGAAGTCAATAGATATTATACCCTGGGTTTACAACTAACAACATTATTCACAAAACGAGTATAATACGTCCATGATGATTATTAGAAAAAAACGCTCTCTATCAGATTGAATGAGTGGCTCTGAAAAGAGCCGTTGGTTGTCAGTGAAGGACCGGAGCATTATTTGGCCTTGGCGGGCTTCTCGGTCTTCTTGGGCAGCAGCACGGCCTGGATGTTGGGCAACACGCCGCCCTGAGCGATGGTCACTCCGCCCAGAAGCTTGTTCAGCTCCTCGTCATTGCGCACCGCCAGCTGCAGGTGCCGGGGGATGATGCGGGTCTTCTTGTTGTCCCGAGCGGCGTTTCCAGCCAGCTCCAGGATCTCAGCGGTCAGATACTCGAGCACAGCCGCCAGATACACAGGAGCTCCGGCACCGACGCGCTCGGCGTAGTTGCCTTTACGGAGGAGCCTGTGGACACGGCCGACGGGGAACTGCAGTCCTGCCCTGGACGAGCGAGTCTTGGCCTTTGCTCGGGCCTTGCCGCCGGTTTTGCCTCTGCCGCTCATTTTATGAATTAGTCTCTAAATACCTTCACAGTTAAGAAAACAAAATGAAGTGCTGGAGCGTTTCCACATACTGTGTTTAAAGGAGAGCCCCAGTCGCTCATTGGCTTAGAGTCTGTAAATATTTAAACCAATCATTGAACTTCCCTCCAAAGCCCAACCCCCTTTCTGGCGGCAATACTTTTATGTAGTATAAATTAAGTATTTGGCAGAAGAAATGGAACTAAAAAATGTGGGGTTAAAGAAAATGCTGAACATGTCATATTACACTGTATATTATATGAATTGGAAAGACGGGTGTTACAAGATGGGGTTCAGGAAGCAGGACGGGAATGGAATCTGATTGGGATACTGGGAACAGAAGGAGAGAGGAAAGGGATTATAAGCACCAGAATGGCACTTTTTAAATTTCTTAAAGTCACAGGGTTGATGGGTAGAATATGAGATCAATTAAATAGCATGATGTTACACACTCCAGTACAGTAGGTGGCGGTATGCACTTCAAAGTTGGTTGCAATCCGCCATTTTTCGAGAGAAGAAGAAGAAGAAGAAATGGAACTATTTAAAATTTGTTTTTGAGACTATTCAAATAGTTACAAATATGGATTTTTAAAACTGTTACACCTTTCAAACACTGTATATTACATATAGTTACATATTGTTTATGTTAATAACTATAAACAATCTAATTGTCAACACAGCACAAGACAACCTACTGTATATTACATATATAATTTGTATCGTATGTGTGTCTATTGTATGTTGTTTTGTTATAAGGTACTGAGTAATTGTGCGCATTAGATCTGTAAATTATGTAAATCTGATGTTTGCTGTAAATTGTTACACGTCCCATTGTGTCATGACTGCTATGTTGCTCAGAACTGCACCCAAGGATTTCACCCACTGTAGCACTTGTGTTAATGGTTGTGTGACAATAAAAGGATTTGATTTGATTCTGCTATATTGAGCACATTGACCCAATACTGTACAGAATTATGTTACTATTGTAATACTGGAGTTTTACCACTGCTTATTGGTGTTTGTCTTGTCATAATTCTCCAATAGAGTTATGTGAATATATTCTGTACCATTAGTAGAACATTATTTGAACTATGATCACTGACAAACCCTCATAAGCTTTTGGCCATTTTTATGCATACAAGAAAAAAAGTTAGGTTTAAGTTTTTCAAAACTTATTTTAGATAAAAAAAAGCATTTTCTATTGTTCTTTCAGATTATAAGTCCAAGAAGCTGAAAGCCAAATCTTGGTTATTTGTTTTCTAAATTAACAAATTGTTAATATACACGAGATTCGGAGTTTGCTCTTTACTCAGAGTAGGTGGGTGGCTCTTAAAAGAGCCGTTGTGGGGGAGAGTAGATGTTTATCTCTTCTTGGGAGGTCCCCTTTTAGGCTTGGCGGCTTGAGGCTTTGCCGCCTTCGGTTTCGCTGCCTTGGCCTTTTTCGGGCTCTTGGCTGCTTTCTTAGCGGCTGCGGGCTTCTTCGCCTTCTTGGGGCTCTTCGTCGCCTTCTTGGCGGGCTTGGCGGCGGGTTTCTTGGCCTTCTTGGGCGACTTCTTAGCGGCTGCAGGCTTCTTTGCCGCGGCGCTCTTGGGCTTCTTGGCGGCGGCGGGTTTCTTAGCCGCGGGCTTCTTCGCTTTAGGAGCCGCTTTCTTGGCCGCGGGTTTCTTCTTGCTCTCGGCTTTCTGCTTGTTGAGCTTGAAGGAGCCCGATGCGCCGGTTCCCTTGACCTGAACCAGTGTGCCTTTCGTCACCAGGCTCTTGATGGCGAGCTTGACGCGGGAGTTGTTCTTCTCCACGTCGTAGCCGCTGGCAGCGAGCGATTTCTTCAGCGCGGCGAGGGACACGCCGCTCCTCTCCTTGGACGCGGACACCGCTTTGACGATCAGCTCGCCGACGCCGGGACCTGCTTTCTTGGCTTTCGCGGCGGACTTCTTCTTGGGCGCTTTGGCCGGGGCGGCAGCAGCCGGGGCGGGGGCGGTTTCTGCCATATCTCTCTCTATGATCGGATGATCTGCAGGGTTTCACACAGTCTGCTCTCAGCAATGAATGATCAACGCTCGCGCGGCGCTGCGCCTTTAAACAACACATGAGAACCTCGTAGACTCAACCCGCCCGCTTTGTGTCTGTGCGCGTCCACGAGCCACAGACTCTTGTGTTTTCTTCTCTTACATTTGGGCGAAAACTGGAGCGATTAAATGTTTTTTTGCTGTCAAAACAAAGTGAACAGCAAGCAGAGAGTCCGGACTTTCATTAGAGACTAAAATACGCGAGGATGAAACGTTTCTTTCGATTCTATCAGATCAAATCCAAGGCGAGCATCAGCCGCGGGGGAAAGCCGCGTGTAAATTTGATGGAAAGTTTTACTGTAAAAGTGTGTAAAAGTCTGAAGGAGTCCTCTGTGTGTTCAGCTAACAGTCTGAAAGAGACTTTAATGAAATCGGCTTCAGTGAGGGTCGTGAGGAGGCTTTGATACAGATGTTGTTTTGGGCCGCTTGAAGCACAAGAACCTCATCCCGAGTCTGACTGAGACTCTCAGCTCTGCCCTAATCATCATCATCATCATCATCATTAATATATACGCCCTGATCACAGTATTAATGTTTTAACTTGTTTTCATACGCTAATGTAGCCTACATCATTTAAATAAAACTGTAAATCGTAATTTATTTCTCATTTTTCGGCTTGTGAATGATGATTGTGTTAAAGCTCTGAATGAGTTTCTCATTTAAAGCAAGTGACTTATAAACAACTTCTTTTTCTCTATTTCTTATTTCCCTCCTTGTTCTAGCTTGTACTTTTCTGGACAATGTGTGAAACTTTTTCTGTATTTCTGTGTTTTCTGACCCATGACAGTATTTTTCTTTGCGTCATGAGAGCCCCATTTCTTTTCACAAGAACAACAGAAAGTATATTAAACATAATCTCAAGTTTCACCATATTAGTGAGGATATTTTGTGCCTTACATGTGAAACCAAACATTTCTCGTTAACTCTGAGCCAAAACTGAGAAACTTCTCAATCTAAAACGACACTCTTTAGACATTGGTGTGATTAAATGGATATTATTTTGCTATTGAAATTAATGCTATTTGCCTTCATTTTACCAGGGAATAAAATCACATTGAGATTTCAATCTCACAAGAGAGCCGTGGCCGAGAAGACAGCAGAGGATACCCTTACACAGACAACTAACAAACAGACAGGGATGCGCAGGAAAATCACATTTTAAAACAATTGCAAATGTTGATAAATTTGATTTAGGTAGGGCTTGAATTCAGATTTGTGAAATTAAAACCTGCATTTTTTAGCTGATTTTGCAACTCATTCCATGAAGTTAGGGCACTGTAACTAAAAGTAGTTTTTCCAAACTCTGTTTTTATTTTTTATATTCCTGTTCCTTTTATATTCCTATTCCTAACCTCAGCAGAGACTTTAAAGGGACTCTGTGTAGGAATTTCTCCCATCTAGTGGTGAAATTGTATTTTGCATTCAAACAAATTGCAAACCGCCTGCTTTTTCAAATGCAATCTATGACAGGATGTCTTCTAATAGCGCCGAGTGTTCCTTCGGGTGAACAGGTTTGTAATTTCACACAAACTTGACACAACATACAAACGAATGTTACAGTATGAATTACTGACTGTGAAAAACATGAACTATACTGGAATAAGTAGTTATGCCTTCTTTATTCGTTATATTTTCTAAAGTATGTGCATAGATATCATCAACTTTTAACTATAAATATTCATCTGTCTATAAAATAAAGTACACAACCAAACAGTGAAAAAAAGCTTGTAATTAAGACTGTAACATTGACTAGTCGAGAAGAAAGCAGGACTTTCTCCTGCATTAGCTCTATCCACCTGGAGAAAGCTATCCCGACATTAACTCGTGTGTTTTGTAATCTCCGGTCATGTTTCCTTTTTTACAATCAATTTTTTTGGCTTTTCTGGCAACGAGGATTTGCAATGCAGCTTTTAATCGTCCTGGGCCGTGAAGTGCCTCTCGCCGCTCTGCTCCTCCGCCTCTGCTGCTTCAGTCCACTGAGGACATTTTTATGAATAAAAATATTGATTTTAAATAACGAAATGCATTAAAAAGTACACATTGTCTCTTTAATGAAGATTTCTCATGAGGCAGCGCAGCAGTTTAATGATCCATGACAACAGAGAGAGCTTTAACCAATTGAATATTTAATTCATGCAATACTAACTTCTCTAGAAATGTCATCAAAAATGAGAAAAGTTGGTCAAAATGTACACTTTACACAAACTGACCACCAACATCAAATTTCAGATGGCATCTTTATTTTTATCTCCATGGAGCGCAAAGGATTGTTGGATATCAAAAACAGCGAAGGATCGAACCTCTCCGGAGACGCAGAGTTTCGGTCACGAACTGTGTTGTTATACGTAAAAGGGTTATTATTATGAAAGGACATCTATACTTTGCCAAATACATATGTAGTGGTAAATAAAGTTCAAGAAAAAAAGTCTTACAGATCATTTTCTTGTTAGATTTTAAAAGGGTATTGATTTGAACAGTTCATTTTGCAACACATTAGTTTTGGTTTTATATTTGGTTTCATAATATAGTATACCCTCAAATAAAATGGGAAAAATACTCTATTTTAGTAAATGACCCTGCTGACTCTAATCCTCATCACACCATCATCCGCCGCACCTGCTGGTTCACGCAGCTTCCGCCCTCGCGCTTCACACCGTCCAATAGCGTGTGAGGGAATTGTAACGACACTCCATGATTGGCTCGTTCACATGCCAGTCTTCTTAGAGCCGCTGTTTCCCGCCATCGCCCACCTTACCGTGCGCGCGCGCTGATCAGTGCACACCGGTGATATAAACCCACATCAGGTAATAAAGCGATTTATTTAATCTATTTCTACATTGGGCGGTTATTTTTGATATGATGGATATAAGTGTTTTCTCGCTAAATGTAAAAGCTGTTTATTCAGATTTGTTTGTGAGAACTGGCGGTGTTTAATGTTTTATTCGGTAGTTTTATGATGTAACGTTACATTTACACTGTGTTTCTACAGTTACTGCGCGTGTGGAAAGTACTAGTTCGGTTTCCCGTTTACCCCTGTACACACCTGACCTGAGGTTACCTGTGTAATTCTGTGCTGTGTGTAGCCTGTCTGAGTTATTTAGTCGAGTTAACTTGTGTGTCTCTATTTATCAGATGTTTTTCTGTAGTTGTGGTGAACTCTTAACACAAGTTAGCATGTTTAGCTGTGCGTTTGACCCGGCTGATGCTGGAGTTAGTGAAGCTCCAAACGCCGACTCATGACGAATCTAAACGCGTACAACCCCGTCACGTGACTTCATCACACCTGAACGCCACGTCGTGCTATACTGGCGTGAATCCGTATTAATGGTTTTATACTCCTCTGGCGTTTATTCTGTTCTTTGTAGTTCATGTCCGAATAACAGGGCCGAATAACATTATTCAGAAAAGTGTAATTAAGAGATTATGTTTGCGACAGATGCATATTTTAACTGTGGTCAATAGTGGTATTTTGTACAAAGGTAACGACTTGAGTATAATTTCACTGTGAACATAAGTCGCACATTCGACCCCGCCGTTATGCTTACTAATGCTATCGGCCTGATGATTCATAGAGGCATTTAATGAAACCAGAAACCTGTTTTCATTTTAATTAAAAGCTACTGAATTCTAAATTGGAGTTTTGTGGCATTTAGTTTGTATGTTTTACATTCATATTTATGTAAATGTTGTTTATTTAAACTATTATCTTTAACTGGGTCAAAAAAATGGGCCCTGATTAATCGTGACCTTCATTTGAATGTTTCTTAAAATCCAAACTTTGACCTTCTGCTGTCTTTTTGTGTCAATGACGGCATAAGAGATCCTGTTTTACAGCCCGAACCGGAAGTTTTGAGCTGAAGCGCCCGTGTCGTGGGAATAATGTCAAGAAATGCTGCTCTTTCCTCACACGAACACACACTCCTGTCGGTTCTTTTCAAATGAATAGTTTCGCATTTCTCAACTTTGCTGAAAATCATCTCTGATCGAGTTCACTGGTCTTGCTTCACCGATCTTCGAATGTGGCACGTTTGAATGTTTAATCTGATGTCACTTCCTGTTTTGGTCGTGTGTCTGAAGCAGGTGATCGTCGTCATGGAGATGCAGGTGTGTGACGAGGCGATCTGCACGTCGCCAGTAGACGACAGCAAAACCAACCTGATCGTGAACTACCTTCCGCAGAACATGGCGCCGGACGAGCTGAAGAGTCTGTTTGGCAGCATCGGCGACATCGAGTCCTGCAAGATCGTACGGGACAAGATCACAGGTACGAGAAGTTACGCCTGCCGCTCAATCGGGCCGGTGGTGTATATAGTCACTGCGGTACAAAATGTCAACCGTAACAGATTTGTTTATTCTGTGTACACCGCGACATGCAAATAAGTGGGCGTGGTTAACTCACGGGCGTGAGACACTGAGTACTGTCAAACATGGAGAAAGCAGATCAAGCGGATCCACAAAGGAATTGCGTTTTCTGAAGGGTTGTTGTTGTTAACGAGATGTTTTTTGGCTGATCTCATGAAGTAGCGCATGTATGACATGCCAATTCGTATTTCCATTTTTGGCGTGCTATCAAGACGCATAATCGCTTTTCAGCGTGTTTATGAACGCCGTTGACTTAACGTTATTACTGTATATATAAATATATGACTTGCCTCAACCCCGTCCCTAAACCTACCCGTCACTGGGGTTAATGGCATTTATGACTGTTCCCTCACCATCCTAGGAAAGAAAAAGATCGCCCCCCAGATGTAGATCTACATTTTGCTTCGTTTCGCTCGGACATTTAACGGCGTGTACAGACACGCGGAATCACTCGGACGTTAATGGCGTAGACATACACACATACACGCGGATAGCTCAAAATGCATAGAGATAACACGCCACTTGACTCGAAAGTGGCGTGTATGTTTACGCAAAAGTCATGATGTCATGTTGTTTTTGGGGAAAGGCGCAGCCTACAGTTTAGAGCAGTGCACGCTCGCAACGGGGAACGCCTTCATTAACAGTTCATTTATCAATACCGAACGTAACGAATAGAAATAAACCTGTATAGTTATCTACATCTTTCCGTCTCTCATCATAACACGCTAACAGTTTGCCGTGGTAATGAACAACTGATTGTTAAAGTGAATGTATAATCCTGTATCCGAGGCAAAATGATTAAATATGCTGCGCGAGTTATATATTTCTAACTCCAAACAATTAGCCACCGAATCAGCTGATTAAACCTTCCTTTGATTCGCTACGTGACTACAACTTGACAATCTCATTTTATGGATGCAAAAGATGCGTGTGTGCACACGCACAGAGCGAGGGATATGTGT